GAAAAAAGCCAGATCACTCTTCTTCCTTCACCCACATATTCGCCTTCCCATTCCAAATCAGCTAATGGACTTCCACTCACACATAGTGCACTCCTTACACTGCTACTGCCATATACTGCTAATGTACTTATCATATATACCTCCTCCCTTTCCACACGTCCCTTACCTATGTCATTGTTGTGTTGTTACTTAAATCTGTCATCACCCTAATCCAACTTGTTATAAACTCGGTAAATATATATTAGATGATCTTTGTCGTAGATTGATGTTCTGGGGATAATTTCCTACAAAGACACTTTGAATATAGGAACAAATCAACATAAAAATAATTTTGCTACCCAGGACCCATATTTTGGTCCTCCCTACTACACAACCAAACGACCCCAAAACATGCCGCCAAGCCCAAACGCCGCTTAGTGAAGTTTCTCCGCCGCCGCGTCGGCCACCCGAGCCCCGCCGCCCAATCCCAAAGCTCACTGTGTTGCCCGATCGCATCCGCAACCTCCGCCGCTGCCTCCATTGTCCTGTCATGACGACCATAATTCCGAGTGTCGTAGCTCCCCTAGTCGTGTTTGGTAGCTATTCCGACTCCGCGCCGATCCCTTCGACGGCCAATTTGGATGAGCGTGTGCGAAGCCGACGAGATTGCGGAGCTCGGGCACACTGCCGTCGTCGACCATTGTCTCCCTTTCCATGCATTCCCTTAGCCTCCGGCAAGCGCCTAAGCCCAGGCGACCCGCGCCTCCCGCTTCGGCCATCGTCCTGGCCAATTCCCACTTCTCCGTCTTTGGATCTTTATGATTCATTTGGTTTTGAAGGTTTGGGTTTCCAGTTTTAGGTATGTTGTAAAAACAGAAGAAAAAAATTGGCAGTCTATATGTACTCTCTCCTCACCAAAAAATGGATTTAGGTAGCCAAAATGTTGGTCTGTTTTTGGTGATGCTGAAAATATGTTTTTGCACCGGTAACTGACCGATATTTTGTTATTAATTCTTGACATTCGAGTTTCTACTCTGTTTACTTCCACATGTATTATTATATCTACACAAAATGTTAGTTTGAAACTTGAAATTAACCATATGTCTTTGTACATACTGAATTAACTATAGCAAATGGAGCATCACATATACCATACCACCAGACCAACTTGGCATATTGGCATGTCGTTTTGAAATGGATGTGTAAATAATATTCTAACCTACTGGCCTAACTCAACTTAAAGAGGAGATAACGTCAAAGAGAATGATTGTCAAGGAGGGCAATACTCAAGTAATCATATTATTTTATTCATTCATCAGCACACAACATTATGATTTCCCTATTCTGAACACAATTACATGACTTAAACAAAAAATCTAAGTTATACACACGTGGGTGTGTGAATCCATTTAGGGATAAGAAGATCAAAATGTTTATTGCTTATATATTTACATATACTCAACCTATTCATGGTGATAGCAATTACTTCCTCCGTTCCATATTACTCGTCGCTGATCTAGTACAACTTTGTACTAAATCAGCGACAAGTAATATGGAACGGAGGGAGTAGATCATAACAAAAAAGAAGCTTCAAACTGAGTGAATCGGGATAAGAAGATCAATCTGGCCCCACAAAAAGAAAGGAAGATCAAACCGGAGAGTGATGATTTGGATCTGTAGCACCACGTCATGCCAGGGTGGAGAGGATGCGGCTTCAATCACCAGTGCCTAACTGAAAGCAGTGTCACAGGAGAGGGACAAGATCAGTATAGCATACATGCAAAAGCATCATCAAAACGAAGAAGATGTTGTACCAGGCATCTAGCGACTCCATAGAGAGGGAGAATCAGCCCACGCACGCAAACTACGTCGCCAGATGGGATCGCCCGCCATCGTGCAGATCAGGGTGGCGCACATAGCCGGCACTGGCGAAGAGGGTTGCAACAAACCGAAGGGATCATGGGACCAGAGCTTCGGCTCGGGTTGGACACCAGCTCGCGGGCGGACGGGGTTGCGAACTCGATCATAGAAGGGGGTGATGAGATTGATCACGATAAGTTAATTTAGTATAGGCCGTGTCATGTGCCATAAGTAAATTATTATACAGTAAGTTAATCAACCAACAACATACAGGAAGACACTAATGTGATTAGTGATGTATGAGAAGGTTTAATTAATGTGATTGAACGACGTATGGAAAGGTATTAATGAGATTGAGTGGCGTATGATAAGGTATGGCCGAATAAGGCGTGGTGGGACAAAAAACCAAGTGGACGAAAAAAATCGATGGAGGACGTGGTGAACCGATTGCCGAAGAGTTCTGCGTGGCAGGAAAAGGAACACTACTCTTTTTTTAATACAGAAGAAATGTTGCCTTCTGTTATCAAACATTGATTCCTTTTCATAGATTTAGTCTTCAAAGATTGATTAGATATTACCATGATTGATTCCGTTCCATAACAACATTACTAAATTTGGCAGAAAAACTAGATTAAGTAGATTGGTGGGATAGAAAAATCGATGGGAAGGTTTAACCGAAATGGCAAATGCGTATAGGTCTGTGCCCATTTTGATAGTATGTCGAGCACAAAATAATAGGTTAGTAGAAGGAAAAAATGAAACCGAAGATAAGAAAATCAAAAAACAAAACATAGAAAAAACAAAAAGTAAAACGTGTCAAATGGGCCGGCCAACTTTGATTCTAATTGATGTTTTGGTAAGATATGATTTGATTTGGGTATAAGTAGTGAAAGTGAAGGAAGATTTTTATTTATTGAGATTTGATTTGAGTGAGTTATTACATGACTTTGTTTTGGAAAAGTGTGATTTGATTGAGTTAATGCATGCATCAAATGGGCCAGCCCAAATTGGTTGCGCTTGAGTGAAAGGTTGTCTGTAAGACACTAGTTGGTGTAATATAGGGTTGGTGGGAGGTGAGGCAACGCTTCAACTCCATCTTTAGGAGTAGAGTTAGTCTAAATGGTGGCCCAGAGTGGTGTATGGGTCAGGTCGGGCCTGGCCGAGAGTAGAGTGAGTTCAGTTGGCATGTGTGCCGTCACATGGTGTATATCCCCCGCCCCTGCGTGTGTGAAGGGCAAGTGGTGCCAGTTACCTGAATACACACTGTGTGAATCCTTCATCATGCCTTGCTTTATTTTCTTGAGCAACCGGCAGGAGCTCTGTCTTTCCTTTAAGAAGAAGAGAATTGACTAGTTTATAAGAAAAATTGGTCTGCATTTTTTCTACCCAAAGATCTTGGAGGACATGGCATGCAAAATCTAGACCTAATGAACCAATCTCTAGTATACAAATGGTGGTGGTAACTTTCCACATCTAATGGTGCATGGAAAACTATCACCACAAATAAATATGTTAGAGGAAAATGCGTTTCTAACATTAATCATAGGCCTGGGGTTCCCAATTTTGGTCTATATTGGTTAAATATAAGAATGATTTCTTTGCTTTGTGTAAATTGAAGATAGGGATAGAAAACACACACACACACACACGCACGCACGCACGCACGCACGCACACACGCACGCACGCACGCACACGCACGCACGCACGCACGCACGCACGCCTGATTTTTAGCAAGGTTGTTGTGGAATGTTTTAAAGGGTGCTTTCAGTCTCATGGACATACCCGATAATGTTAGAGATCTCTTTCATATTTGGATATGGCTATATTTAGGAAAACAGAGAAACACCTGATGATGATAGGGTCTTTGTTGTTTTTGAGACAGTTGGAAATGGAGAAATGGTATTGTGTTTGAAAATAAGAAGGTGAATGATCCCTATGCGATTGTTAATATGATTTGTCATTGGCTCACCTCTTGGTCTATCTTGCAGAAAAACAGGTTGTTGCGAATTCTTTCCTTTTGCTTTGATCTTAAACATGGATTTAATCGGATAGCTTTACTTGCTGCCTTTCACTTTCTTGCTGCTTTGTAAGTTCAAAGACACCTGGTTTCAGTTAAATGAAATGGAGAGAAAAATCTCTTTCTCACAAAAATAAATCAATAATGTAGTTGTTTATACAGATGCATTTGATGCTTATTTGAGATGTGCCCTAAGCCGTCACACTTATTGCTATGCCGCCCTGTAGCCCAGCCGTTAACACCAAGTATGCACTCTTTTCAGTCGGCATGGCAGTAGAGGAGGTTCGGGGTGCAGTCATAATCGATCGAACTGTACAGACCAAACGCCTGATGATGATAGTGCCAACTGTTTGTCAAACTGGCGCCAGCCGCAGAAACAGGATCTTTCACTGCCATTGCAGTGGCCAGTGTCTTGCTCGACATGGGACTGACCACCAACCAAACCAAACTGAACGCACTCACTTCTCACCGAGGCAGCCGACCACGCAGACTCAGTCAGTCGCCGAGCGTCACGACCCATCGCCGAGCAACCGAGAGATCCTCCTCCACATCTCTGTCCATCCTCCATTGTCCCACACAGCTCCCCTCTGTAACCTGTGCGGCCACCGTCGATTCGCGCCCCACCTCCGGAATATACTAATCACGCCGTTAATCGCCCCAAAACCACGGCCTCGCACGTACGCCTCCCCCGCGAAGCCGCGGCAACACCCGGCTGGGGGCAGAGAGATCTCGAGAGTTAAAAATAAAGGAACCTACAAGATCGTGGTGTATCGGCCCCGATTCGCGTCGCCATCGCTGGGCGCGAATGGCCACGTCGGAGTTTCAAATACCTGCACCGCTTTCCGCAACCGTGCCCCGCCTTTGCCCCACAGTGACATGACGGACATCCGAATCGGCCCCGCGCACTGGAGCGAGCTCGCGAGCTCGCTCGCCTGGGTGCACCGCTAAGGCACGCACGCACAACCGCTCCGTCGCGCCCACGCCTGAAACCTATAAAACCCCACCAACTGCGCCATCATTCTTCACCAGCTCCATCGCAAGGGACAGTACTGTACCACTCTAGCCACTACTGGAGCTACCAGGCGCCATCCCACCCACCAACCAGCAACAACGAGCGCGCCGCAAGCGCACGCCGGAGCCAACATGTCGATGCCGGTGTCCATGTCCGGGAAGGCGAGCGACCCGGGTTCCGCCTGGTTCGGCGGCGGCAGCAGGAGCCCGCAACCGGGGCCGACACACAACGTGCGGCTCATCGCCATGGCCGTCGCCGCGTTCGTCTCCGTGCTCGGCCTCTCCCTGCTCCTGCACCTCTACATCTGCCGCGTCCGCCGCAGGAACCGCAGGCAGGCGGAGGCAGCCGCGGCCGCGCTGGAGGCCGGCTCGGCGGCCCCCAAGCCGGCCAAGGTCGGGCTGGACCCGTCGGCCATCGCGGCGCTGCCAACCGCGGCGTACCAGGAGACGGGCGAGCCGGGCAGCGGCGCAAGCGAGTGCACCATCTGCCTCGGCGCCATGCAGGAGGGCGAGGCGGTGCGCGTGCTGCCGGCCTGCGCGCACGTGTTCCACGTCCCCTGCGTCGACACGTGGCTCGCGTCCAGCTCGTCATGCCCGGTCTGCCGCGCCCTGGTGGAGCCGCCGCTGTCGCCGGCCGCGCCAGCGTGGGTGCAGGAGAAGCAGGGCCTAGAGAAGGAGTGTGCTGCAAGTGGGAGCTCGGCGCCGCCATGTGGGCTCGGCGCGTCGCTGATGCGGATGCTGAGCAGGGAGAGGCCGGTGGCGCGGAGGCCGACGCAGGGTGACCACGCGCACCCGATGGAAATGCATGTCGAGGACCTGGAAAGCCAGCAGCCCCAGCAGCAACACTCTGTGGATACCAATTAGTCTACTTTTTTCGTTTTTCTTCTTTTTTTGGGTTTTTTTCACTATTCGCTGCTCGATTGCAAATCTTGCATTTGGGTGGCCGATTCAGAGGTGTGAAATACGGAAATACACCTCTGAAGTGTCCTACGGAAATACATTGTGGATGTGCTTGCAGCTCACCCATATCTCTCGTATTTGTGCAAAGAAGGGATCATGGATATATAAATAGACCCCGCAAAAAATGGATATATAAATAGAGCTCTGTTTTCTCTAGCAGCTATATCATCGATGGCGCGCATTGCTGCGCCCATTCATTTTTTTGATATTATTATAGCAATTTTGTAAAGATGTGCCGACACGAAAAATGAAAGTTTAATTTGCACAAATATGTTTCTTGAGGGTATTTTGTGTTAGATCAAAAAATAACAGTAGTGAAACCGTATTGGAGCTTGATATTAGTTTTATATAAGTCATCTTCAAATGTTAGAAGCAAAAGTGCTAAAGCATTGAAGCTGGATAACAATACCTGGTACAATACTAAGGGCCTGTTCAGGAGCCCTCTGCCCAGAAAATCTTCAACTCCAACACCACAAATCCAGCGCCAGCTTCTCACGATTGATCTTGGAGTGAGCGATCCGTTCGGCATCACGTCTTCTCCCTCGCGCCAGGGAGCAAGCCTCAAGCCCATGAAATCACCTCTTTGTGGCCCATCAGTAGCAGGCTGGCAATGTAAAAGGTTGGAAAAAGATGGGCTGGGCCATAAGCCTGGTCGGGGAGGGACTGCTCGCAGCAAGAGAGACGACCTGAGAGCGAATCGGTACGTGATGCTCGGTCGAGAGAGTCACTTGGCGGTGGCAGCACAAAGTAATATTCTTCAACTCCCGCTTCCTAGTTTCTGTGGAGCTCCGTTTTCCCAACTCCATCGATCCTGCAATTTAGCACTGCGCCGGGTCGTTGCTTCTATATGGAATAGCCAAGAGTTGACCCGTTCGGGTGCGCTCCAGTCCTGGAGTTGAGGATTTGGGAAGCGAGTGAGCTGCCGAACACGCTCTAAGACTACTTGTGCCCACAATAGGAAGGAACTTGAAGAAAGAGGGGTAGAAGCATCATGAGAGGTCTTGGCTCAAACCTATTTCATCGTCCTAAGAAAGAAAAGTAAGAATTTGATCCCATCCAATCTTTGAACAAAGTTAGGACATCGGTCAAATATTATAGAGTTTCGAACATCACCAGTAGTATATGATAAAAATATATATAATAATAATGCTTCTGTCGGGGGATTGATTCTGGACCATGGGAAATCCTCCAAAAACCCGGATTCGAGTTCTCGAGGCTTGGCTTTGCGTCTACGAGGTTACAAGCTAGGCACAACAAGGACGCAACGAGTTGCCCAAGTTCGGGCCACCGTGCGGTGTAAAATCCTACTCCTGCTTGGTTGTATTGCTTGTGGACCGTTGCGGCTTGAACTACATCGGTATTTCCCCAAAGAGAAATGGATGATGCAGCACATGTACGGTAGGTATTTCCCTCAGTGATGAGACCAAAGTTATCGAAACAGTAGGAGAACTACGCAACACTATGTAAACGATATCTGCACACAAAGAACAAATACTTGCAACCCGACACGTAAGAGGGGTTGTCAATCCCTCCCGGGTAAAAAGATAGATACATTTGTAGTAGATTGGATAAATAGATCTCGCGGAAACGCGAAATAAAATAAATAACAAAAAATGCAACAAGGTATTTTGGTTTTTTTGAATTGATAGATCTGAAAATAAAAGCGAATAGAAATAGATCTCGAAGGCAAATATGATAAAGAATAGACCCGGGGGTCGTAGATTTCACTAGTGGCTTCTCTCGAGAAAAATAGCATACGGTGGGTAAACAAATTACTGTTGGGCAATTGATAGAACTTTCAAATAATTATGACGATATCCAGGTAATGATCACTATATAGGCATCACGTCCAAGGTTAGTAGACCGACTCCTGCCTGCATCTATTACTATTACTCCACACATCGACCGCTATCCAGCATGCATCTAGTGTATTAAGTTCATGAAAAAACGGAGTAATGCAATAAGAACGATGACATGATATAGACAAGGTCTATTCATGTCGAAATAGACCCCATCTTGTTATCCTTAATAGCAACAATACATACGTGTCATGTCCCCTTCTTTTACTGGGATTGAGCACCGTAAGATCGAACCCATCACAAAGCACCTCTTCCCATGGCAAGAAAAATCGATCTAGTTGGCCTAACTAAACCAAAGATTCAAAGATGAAATACGAGGCTATAAGCAATCATGCATATAAGAGATCAAAACTCAAATAATTTTCATGGATAAAATAGATCTGATCATAAACTCAAAGTTCATCGGATTCCAACAAACACACCACAAAAAGAGTTACATCAAATAGATCTCCAAGAGACAATTGTATTGTGAATCAAAAGAGAGAGAGAGGAAGCCATCTAGCTACTAACTACAGACTTGAAGGTCTACAATGAACTACTCACGCATCATATCGAAGATGCACCAACGAGGATGATGAGCCCCTCCGTGATGGCGTCTAGATTGGACCTGTGGTTTCTGGAACTTGCGGCGGCTGGAATTGTGTTTCGTCGACTCCCCTAAGGTTTTTGGATCAGGGTATTTATAGAGCAAAGAGGCAGTGTGGGAGACGGCCGAGGCGGGCACACCCCACCAGGGCACGCCTGGGCCCCCAGGCGCGCCCAGGTGGGTTGTGCTCTCCTCGAAGCCCCCTCTAGTACTTCCTTGGCCCATTGTGTTTCTTCTGGTCCGGAAAAAATCTCCAAAAAGTTTCGTCGCATTTGGACTCCGCTTGGTATTGATTTTCTGTGAAGTAAAAAACAAGCAAAAAAGAACAACTGGCACTAGGCACTATGTCAATAGGTTAGTCCCAAAAAATGATATAAAGTTGCTACAAAATGATTGTAAAACATCCAAGATGATAATATAACAGCATGGAACAATCAGAAATTATAGATACGTTGGAGACGTATCAACCCCGTTCACGTCACCTCCATCGGGTCATTGGTGTCCAGCCTTCTCATGCGGCAGCCTCCGGAGGTTCACTCGGCGCAGGTTCTCCCTACCACACAGGTTTTTTACGCATGCCATGCGCCAAAAGTCCAGGCGCAACCCGCCTTGAGGTAGGGCCTCCTGAGTCCCGCGCTGGCTCATGAGTGCCCAGATACACCTCCTCCAAGTTCTGTCATGCCAACCACGCGTATGAACGACATAGGGTTGTACACGCCTGGAGACTCTAACACAGAGCTCCCTACCCATGCCCAGTGGTAGCCCCATGCTCCGCGCTGGCGGATTCGGTCGAACCACGACCATGACCAGGCCTAGTGGAAGCTACATGCACCAAGCCGGTGGATAAACAACTAAGGGCGCCCTATGGGTTGCACCAACCTCAGGATGGCCTCTCGGCTCTTCACGCGGTACTGCTTACAGTATTCCCCCTAGGATGCATGCGCGAGGGGGCTGGACATGGTACCTACGCTCAGGCTAGGCCTGGCGCATGCCACCTTACTAGGTCCCTGGTACCTGGTCTTCCCGCGTCCCTCTCAAGCGAACACTGATGAGGAAAGGTATGGAGGACCCCAGATTAACCTCGTCGCTGCCCATGCTTCCTTCATGAGGGCCGCTCGCACGTCAAGGGGGACCCCTGAGCATCGCGACTCAGGGGCCTCACTAGTCACATAGCCCCTCACCCCTTGGTTTCTTCTTGGCATCGTGACCAGACACCCCAACGGCGGCCGAGGTATGCGCGGGGCTAGGCCCCGCCGACGTAAAGCACAAAGCCAAACGAGAAGGAAACCAAGCATGGAAAGGAAATCGCAAAGTTCGAACAATTATTACAAGCATAAAATGTTTTGCAACTTCAAGCAAAGTCTTACGCCTCCACGAGGCATGAAAAGTATTGCAGGATAAACTCTAGGTGGAGCCGCCACCGTCACCATGGCTGTCGCCGCCACATGCCTCAACAATGGTGGACTCATCCTTGACGTCGCTACCGCCACCGTCGCTGCCGCTTGCCTCGGCCGCTGGAGGATCGGCGTTGGGGTTGCAGATGAACTTCCCCACCAGCGTGTCCATGTGGCTCTTCAGGATTGCCGCCGTGCTGGCGTGGGACTCAGGAGCAACCGGTCCAATCACTGCGTCAAAGTTGAAGCTGGGGTCGAGAATGTAAAGGTGGCTGAAGACACAAGTTACTGCCACAGAGAAGAGGTCGCGACACTCACCTTCTAGGATGGAGTCCACCTTGGCGGCGGCGCCCTCGAGTTCCTCGGAAAGCTTGGAAGTGAGCCCTGCGTAGCCGCCCTCAGGGGTCGCGAGCGGGGCCTTGAATCCTCCTCGACAGATGGACTGTAGCACGTGGCGAGCCTTGATCTCGAGGGAAGGGAAGGCATCACGCTCTGCAGCTGTTTTCCCCTTAGGCCTCATTTGGTTGTTGGGTAGGAAAATACCAGGGAAATAAACCCCTAGAGGGAGATTTCCCTGTTCTCGTGAGATCCCTC